TTTAAATATAAATTATCCAAACATAAATAAAGATCAATATAACATAAATAACTAAAAAATTAATAATAGGTATTTTTTACATATAATTAATTAATATTCAATTATAATAAATAAAATTTTAAAAATTCAAGTATAATTAATTAAAATATTTTAAATATAAATTATCCAAACATAAATAAAGATCAATATAACATAAATAACTAAAAGGTTAACAATAGGTTGGATAAAATTAGATTAAATTTAAATTTTATTGAATTGGATTTAAGTTTGAAAATTGAATTAAATTTAAAATAAAATTAATTTATATATTTTTTAAATTTTTCACGGGGATAGAGATCCCCACGAGGTTCCGCAGGATGAGAAAAATTTCTTGCAAATTTTCACGAGGAGAAAATATTCTCCGTCCCCATCCCTTAAAAAAATATATTTCTCCCCGTCCTATTCCCGTAGCAGGGATCCCCACGGGACTCCGCAAGTATCAAAGCAAATTCCCACCCCTAACTACTAACAAAATTTTGAATTTTGGAGAGAGAAAAGTTGCTTGCAAGTTTTTGCCAAAGGCAAAAGATGCAAATCACCCCCTAAACTCAACAACTGGTGGCAAATCACCCCCTCAACCCACTTCACACACAAATCAACCCCTCAACTCACCTGCAGTGGCAAATCAGCCCCTCTCTTAACCCTTCTGTTAACATTTAACAGTTTGCTCATCAGCCCTTCCTTTGTGTCTGACGTGACCTTCTTTTTGCTGAGATGGATGCTGAGATGGAGGCACAGCTGGACAAATACTTCAAAATCAGCATATTACACAAATTACTTTTATATCCTTAAGTTGTTTAGGGAATAAAATTGGAGATTTGTTTTTCTGCCAGGATCTGGTCAAAGGAGGTACTGGGGCAGATGTTTTTTCATCTGGGTCTGAAACATGCTTTTCCAGTGAACCAAACAAGGCTTAATTAATCAAAAGGAGCACAAAAAACAGAGATTAATTACTTACTTTGCTCTTGAATTGAAGAAGCTGAAGATGGGTCTTGTCCATCGAGATAGAGGAAAAGTGCTTGATCCAATTCTCCCAAATCATAAGCTCCGCTGTCTTTGCTTCTGCTTAATTAAAAACAAAACAAAACAAAAAATTTAAGAAAATTCCAAAACATTTGCATCTCTTTGGTGAGCTAAATTCAAGAAGTTTCTAGCTTCCGGATTTTACATGAAGTTTCCAGATGGGGGGATTGAGGAGGATGATGGAGATGATGGAAATATGGCATAAGGAATCTGATGATGGTTATGCTCTTGTATCTGATGATGCTGATGTTGTTGATGCTCAAGTTGGCTCGAGTTGTTTCTACCAGTTGCCATGGAAGAAACCTGAACTAAAACTCACTTAAGGGACTTGGTTGTTCAATCTTTTCTTCAACAAAATTTCAGTAGCTCTTCAATACACTTCTGTTAATGGCGAAACCACCTCCCTTCTTTTATGATTTACTCCTAAATCATTTTTGATGTCTATTAAAAAAAGCAGACCTGAGTCGGTTATAAAATGATGAAGAAGAGGATAGAAAGAGAAAGAAAAGAGGAATTAATATATGGAATCCAAAGGAAACAAAAAGACAAAAAGTCTCCAAAAACCGACGAAAGAGGGTGCATCGCTTGCACTTCCGGACCAGGGTCAGTGCGCGCTCAAGGTTTTTGGAGACTTCAGTGACTATGCGGACGATTGGCCGGTCGTATAAGGGCGGAGAAGCAGCGGAGATGCAGCCGACCAAATCATGAAACATCGGCCTCAAGCAACCCACTAAACTCCCAACGTGGACGCACTCCATCTCGAACAAGTTAGACTCTGCAACTGCTGAGTTAACTCGTCTTCCAACTCGTTCAGCCATCAAAATCTTTTCCAACACCACCATCTCCTCCTCCTCTAGGTTTACCTGTATCACCAGATTTGTAATCTGCTGATTTTGAGGTATTTGTCTAGCTGTGCCTCCACCTCAGCATCTATCTCAGCAAAAAGAAGTCCACGTCAGACACAGAGGAAAGGCTGATGAGCAGACTGTTAAATGTTAACGAAAGGGTTAAGAGAGGGGTTGATTTGCCACTGCAGGTGAGTTGAGGGGTTGATTTGCGCGTGAAGTGGGTTGAGGGGGTGATTTGCCACCAATTGTTGAGTTTAGGGGGTGATCTGCACCTTTTGCCTTTGCCAAACATGTCCTAAATAAACTTCGTGAAAAAGTATAAAGTTGCCAAATCATTGTATTGGACTGTTGGGCTTCTTCAAAGATGCATGCAATGCAATGACGCAAACCCCCATATAATGGGCAGTTCAATAATTAACTAAGTATGCAGGTTTAGTTTGGTTATGTTCTGGTACATTAAACTTTTAGCATTTGTTAGAATTTTATTAGTTATTGGTCAAATTATTTTATTTTTTC